TAAACGAAATTGAACTTCGGGATTTGGACTTCCAAAAGTCGGCCAAAAGCGTCAAAGCTCCAAGGTCATATCGACCAGATTTTGGTCGGTATTCCTTCTCGATATGAATGTAGACCGCTTGCACCAAATCCTTCATAACTCCTTGCTCACTGGTCCGAACCTTGATCTTCCAACTCCACGAACCAGATGACGTCCTTAGCTCCAAGTTTTGTGAAGGGCTCAACCCCGTTTGACGTCTTCAGAGCCCCTGTCTTGTCGGTTCTTTGAAGCGCACCGCGTAAGTTCTGATCGGCCCGCGAGACATGTGTTCCTTCCGGTGGCGATATCTCCCAGATCACGGCTCCAAATTTGTATGATTTTAAGTGTTCCGGAAACTAGACTCTTTCCTCTTGATTCTTGGTGAAGACACTGGAGGTTGAATCGCAATGCAAGTCCTTCGTCTCATGCGATCAAAGTAGGGGTCTTATTGGCACCAAACCATCTGTCCGAGTTGCTGTACACAGGTGAGGGTTCCTCCTTGATCCCAGCTCCAAGTTGCTCCCAAAAGTCTCCAAATGACCTGAGAATACTCCAAAAAACTAGGACACTCTAGGACCTAATGCAATTCCTAAACAAAGCTAGAACCAAAGACAAACTCTAATAAAACTAGCTAAATATATGCACGAGACTCGATATTTGGACAAAAATGCAATCCTAAACATGACAAAATATGAGTATATCAACTCCCCCACACTTGTCCTTTGCTTGTCCACTAGCAGATAAGAACAAATGAGAGAGAGAGGTTGAATGCATGGGAGTTCATATTTCTTTAAAGATAGATGATCATTAAAAGAATTCAAAGCTCATTGTCCAAGTTACTAATTCTAGACAGCAATGCAAACTCGTTTACTCATAAAAATTAGCCATACTTGTCACCAGATGAACCAAACTCAAGCACCAACTTTCACAAGCATTCCTAACCTCAACCTTTTGACATTCATTTAAGGTTTCAAGTGGATCATGTTCATGCAAATCAAGTGAATTCATTTGGCTTGGGACTGGGTTTTGAGATTAAAATGATCTCAATCAAGTGACTGGTATTCCATTCAAGGGGATCACTATAAAATTAGTAGACTTTAGTAAAATGCTAAGGGTAAAAGCAATGGATGCATACAAAGATAGAACTGCATCTACCCCACACTCAAAACGCTTTTCACACTCAACTTTAAACCATTAAAAGACTCTCTCTTAGTCTACTCACCCCAAATGGAATTTTGCCTTTGACACTCAGTCAGCTCACATCACTCTCTTCATTTCATCTCTTAGGGGAATGCTTTCTTTAACAACCACTTAGTGAGTTTCTTTTCTTCAAAACACAAGATCTTTCTTATTCCAGTCTCCTTTTGAATCTTTTCTTTTTCTTTTCATGAGACTCTTTTCATTTCAACACTTGAGCTTTATATTTCAGCACACACTCACTTTCTTTCATTTAAGCATTCATTCCCCTAACCAATCCGGTTCTTTCCACTTTCATCACTCAGATTTTTTTTTTCTTTTCAGCTCACACACTGAAAATCAATGCTCTCACTTTCACCTAAACCTAGACTAGCCCTTGATGCTGGGCTAGTATCTACATGCAGCACTATCTTTGTCGTTCTAAACCCAACACTTTTTACCAAGTCTACTAGAAACAAGGCCTCACAAATCATGCACATAAGAAGGGTGTTTAGGCTTCAAAGAAAGGTTTGGCTAAAGGCAGGGAACTGTCTCAAGATGAGAGATCAGCTATTTGAGCTAGCAAGAGTGATTAAAAGGGATAAGAAATCTCAAATATGTATGTGGTATCCATGAATTCACAATGATATGCACAAACATGATAATTAGATGTCAAATTCAAGAGTTTTCACTTAAGCAAGGTTGAGGTTATTCACAACTTGATTCAGCTAGCACAGAAGTATTGAGACACCAGTTCAAAGCATGGTTCACACTTGATCTCATACCAGTTTTGCAATACATCAAAGAACCAAACTCTTACAATGATGCTCTCTTCAAGAAAAAATCTATCATTACTCCCAGTTGCATATGACGCAAACCTATATGAAAATGCAAGCTAGACTCAATCCTAAAATGTGAATGCAACTACATGAGCAATTTTTTTTGTGAAGATTTTTCAAAATTTTCGATTTTTTTTTGTTTTTACATGCACTTAGATGAATGCAAAATGAGACTCAAAATGGAAAAGAAAATAAGAACAGAATAAACATGATTAGTGAACACAAAACCCCTCCCCCACACTTAGATAACACAGTCCCTTGTGTTATAAAAGCATGAATGAGAAGTGCAAAGCAAAATCACAAAATGCAAAGAGAAAATTAAGCTAAGCTAGATGCATATATACAAGGATGGAGTGTTACCTTCTCAAGGACTTAGAGATGGGGCTGGAGACCCCATGGAGTAGGAGGGATTGCTGGATTGGTCTGAGGGAGATCTCATGGCATCCCTCTTGGCTCTGACCTCGTCCTCCTCTGACTCTGGTGATTAATGATCCTCTGGTCCGCAGATCCTAAGCATCTCGCCATTGTGTAAGCTGTCACCAACTTCTCCTCTTTGGAACCTCTCAAGCTTGGCACTCAGCTTCTTAATCTTGGCTGCCATGCTCTTGACCGTGCTTCCTAACATCTTCACTGTCTCCGCCAGCTTCTTAGTGTTCCACCTTTGAATGTTTTTGGTGCGGTAATGAGCAGCAACAGTGGCTTCATTGGGTATCTGACCATCATAGGAGTCAAAAAAGTATCTATGACTCCCATACACTGGGTCTGGAAATAAGGGCTCCTCCTGAACCGGTTCTTGGTCTCCATCAGCATCATTAACAGGCGCTTTCAGCTTCCCCAACTTCCTTATTGTTTTAATGGGAGGGTTGATCTCTGGGTTGTAGTGCTGATCCTTGGTGACATGGAAACTGATGTTTCCTTGTTCAGAGAGTGAAGTGAGGGAAAGATTAGGCAGCAGCACTCTTACTTTCATCTTCGTATCAATACTGAGGTTATAGGCAAAGGAATTACCCACAGAACCTTCAAGGAATGTAGTCTTGGCCAAATGAAGTGCATCCATCAACTTGAAATCTATTTGTTCACCTCTCATCTGAACTCCATCCCTCAGTAAAATAGGAGTGACTAGGCCTCCAATGCGCATGGAGGGTGTCTTCATTTTTGTGTCATGAGCCCATTTCCTGATAGAAAGAAAGGTCTTGACTAGAAGGGCTGCCAATGTTGGTTTATGAGGATCTCCATTAAAGGGCATGCCGCTGCTGAACTTTGGCATCAAGGGCTTCAGACCTTCTCCAATGAGCATCAACTCCTCATCATACTCTGTTGAGTACTCTTTCTTTCCAAGGAATGTGTGAGCTATGATCTTGTGCACCATTCTGAGCACTGGGTTCCTGATGCAAGCCGCCTTTGTTACACCAGCTGAGTAATCGCCACTTCCTATTGCCCACCATAGCTGAACCAGGTCGGCTCCATAATAGATCAGCCTCTTTGCACACGTCCTTCCCTCAACAGTGAACCCAAAGCATTCACTTACTTCCTTAAAGGTCATCTCATACCGTTCCTGTCCAATTTTGAATGCAATGGTTCCAAAACCACCTTCAAGCTGAGCTGGTCCAATCTCTCTATAGAAATCAGCTTGTAGAGATGCAAGAAATTGGCAAGTCATCTCTGTGTAGGAAGGATGAGGTACTTCTATCAGGCTCCCAAGTCCAATGGAATGAAGCACTGCCTTTACATCTTCAAGAATACCAAGTTTCCTCAAAAGTTCAAGATGAGGGAAATATGTCCCTTCATGCGCCACAGCTTGGAGTTTTCTGCGATAATCTGAGTAAGTTGGAGGTTTTGGCTTGGCTTTCTTCACCACTTTCTTTTTCTTTTCTGGCACAACAGCTGGAGAACCCACATTGTCCTCTTCCTCACTAGACTCCACACTTGGGCTCCTCTCAACCCTTTTTTGTTTCCCTGAAGCTCTTGAGCTTGAAGCTGCAGCTTTTTCTTGTTTTTAGAACCAGCACCAACCGCTTGAGACTGTTCCCCTGAACCAGAAGCAACTGCTTTTCCATTGTCTCTCCTTGGTACTTTGGGCATCGAAACAGGGTTTCCTCTTGCCATGGTACCTGATATAACAATTTCTCAAGCAAACAATGAGTCTCTAGAGAAATAATCCCTTGAAATTTTCAAAACGATTTTTGCTTGCAATGAAATCAATGGGAATAAATCAGACAAAATCACATTAAGCAATCCCAAGCAGCACCAAGAGATTCTCACTTCAAAATAATTTTTTAAAATCAAAATTTCAGCTTAAGAACAATAAGCTCTAAAGGTGTCTAAAATAAGGATTCAAGAAACAATTGGGCACAAGTGAGTTCATTCCTAGCTACCCACAACCTAAAATCCAAGGTTCTAGCTCAGTTTCAAGCAATGCATTTTCAGTTCCACAAAAAATTTATTCAAGAAAAAACAAGAAGAACAGCGCTATAGTTTTTTTGAACTTAAGAAGCAATTTAAGCAAAATGTACATTGGAGCTGGGTTAGATGGTGCAAGAAATCAAAATGGGGCAAAGAAATCTCCAGGAAAATCGATCCACAAGAAACGAAATCAAGCTTTTTCAGAGAGAAACAATGTTTGTGTTTTCGCAAAAGTGAAGGAAAAAGATAGAGAAAACCGATTTTTGTGTGGCCGAGGGCTGCTTTTTGGGGTGTGGGAGACAGCTGGAGATGGCTGGAGTCTCTGACTTTGACCGAGCCACCCTTTCGACCGCTGGACAATAGGCTGCACCATGGTGATATCAACGTGAATCAGCTTGGTGTGGGAGGTCGGTGTACTTTTAATTTTCTTCCTTTTCTACACCGAGTTCTTGCACCAAGCAAAATCACCTTGGTGTGAGACAAGACTTGGCTCCTTTCTGCACTGCACCGACCTCCATTTGCTTGGTGTAACTGGTCGATATTTTCTCGTTTTTTCTAACTTGTTTACAACGAGCAAATGCACCAAGGGAAATCATCTTGGTGTGAGGCATTCTTGGCCATCTTTTGTTCCACACCGACCTCCACTTGCTCGGTGTAACTGGTCGATATTTTCTCGGTTTTTTGAACCTGTTACACCGAGCATATACACCAAGGGAAACCATGTCAATATGAATGTATTCCTAAGCCGATTTTTCATCTTTTCTCTTCTCCAACCCTTTAAAATTGTACTTGAGCCACTATAAAACCTGTACACACTTGAACCAAAGATCAAAACATCCTAAAAATAGCAAAAGAAAGCAAGAAAAGAAATTATATACAAGGATAAGCTTGGGGTGTCTCCCAAGAGCACTTTGTTTAAAGTCTCTAACTTTGACTTTGAAAACCTGTTTAACAGGCTGGTAGATCATCAAGAGGAACTGTAGAAGCTTCCTCTCTCTTCTCAGAAATAAAGTAATGCTTGACCCTTTGTCCATTTACAACAAAACCCTTTCCATCTTTTCCTTCCAAGACCAATGCTCCATAGCTTCTAACCTCTAAAACCCTGAACGGTCCTGACCATCTTGACCTTAATTTACCAGGAAAGAGCTTGAGCCTTGAGTTAAACAAAAGAACGAGGTCTCCCACCTTAAACTCCCTCTTGAGAATTTTCTGATCATGCAAGATCTTGGTCTTTTCCTTGTATATCCTTGCACTCTCAAAGGCATTGAGTCGGATTTCTTCAAGTTCATGCAACTGGAGTACCCTCTTCTCTTGAGCTGTCTTAATGTCAAAGTTCAACATTTTAACAGCCCAAAGAGCCTTGTAGTCAAGGTCTACTGGTAAGTGGCAGCTCTTCCCATACAACAGATTGAAAGGTGATGTTCCAATAGGAGTCTTGTAAGCAGTCCTATAAGCCCAGAGAGCATAATCCAGCTTCTTGCTCCAATCTTTCTTTGAGTTTCTCACTGTCCTTTCTAAGATGGCCTTGATCTGTCTGTTTAAAACCACTACTTGGCCACTGGTTTAATCATATATATGTTTATTCTAGTTCCATGCAGATCTCTGAAAACAGATGAAGATAAATCGCCCGAAAGCTAATTGGAAATGCCACCATACATCGATTAGAGTAAACCGGAGAAGTCTAAATCGCCACCTATGAGCTTTAAAACCCTAGCATGAATCGAATATCCCCTAAGATATCCCTGTCAACCCAGCATTCGTTTTAGGAAAGTATTAGTCTTGTTTTATTTTGCGTTTTCAGTGTCACACCAACCCCACAAAAACCCCCACTGGTCATTGAGTTCGATTACTAATCCAGTTTGACGTTTCTCCAGAAAAAGACAACTCTCCCTATGGATCGACACCCTAAGTACTACAACGCACGGCTGTGCACTTGCAGACACTAGGGTTTACAAATTTAAAACTATTTTGCGACAGGAACCCTAGCTCGCATCAAGTTTTTGGTGCCGTTTCTGGGGAGAGATTCACTCTTGCTTATGCCAAACTTCATAGGTTAGTAAATCCAACTCTTAGACACCTCTTTCTTTTAAATTTTTCGTTTTTTTTTGTCTTTGTTTCAGGTTTCTGGAACATGTATTCACCGATGGAGCAAGAGGATATGATTGGGCGAGGGTATCACAACCCGTGTGCTGCTCATTATCAACCCTCTTCGTGCAGTTTCCGAGAGAAATCAAAGTCTGAGTTACTAGACAAAGTTAGGTGTCTTGTTAGAACACTTGCTGATAACGTTGATGTAATTTTGTCTTACAAACTCAAGAAGGACGTCGGTCAAGGAGATTACAACCACTGTAACCCCTATAACCTGCGTGTTGCTCAAAACTCTCACACCTATGGTGAATCAAACTGCCGAGATGAAGTCTAATCGCCCCCTATGGTGAACCACCGACCATCTCACCTTTCTGCTCATCAAATTCTGGACCAGGATGATGAGACTCATTGATTAAGTATTCAGCTTAATCCATTAAGTCTACAGCTTAGCCGAGTTGATGCTATGACGAAGCAGATGCAAAAATCTCATGCTAACGCTATTGCTGCCATTGGTATGAAGCTTGATTCCACCTACATTGAACTCATCCAGAAGTTTTATGATCTTTCTGAGCGTGTGAAGTCTTAGAAGAGCAACATCTTAAGATTGCTGCAATTCTAGAAGAAAGAACTGAAGTTCTTGAAGAAGAGCAAGGAATAGAAGTTCATAATTCTCTTTGTGATTCAAATCTGATGTGATTCAAATACCAAAGCCTACTGCAGAGGGAACAGGTATTTCGAAAACTGATTCATTTATGATTTATATTCACATTGGATATCTTTCTTCTGTAGCTCTATTAAGTTTCATACCCAGTTTGCCTCTTCAAGTGGAAGATTGTCTTCTTCCTAATAATTTCCATGTTATGGAGATGAGAAAGGATGCAAAGAACTCTCTTTGCCTGACCATAAGCAGTGGAGAAGAACCAAATTTTGATCCTGGAAAAGCTACAAAGGTCCCTGAAAACTTCCTATAAGAAGGTCCACCCTTCACACTTCATCAAAACATCAACCAAAAGAATTTCAATGTGCAACAAGGTTTCTTTTGATGCACACTTGATCTTTGCTCATATGGGACGTGATCAAGAGTCAGATGGAGCCAAAGTGCAGCATAGATGGCCCTCAAGACTTTTTACTCAAGACTTGTCACAAAGAAAAAGCATTGAGGACTCATATCCTAGAGAAGTTCCAAGACGAGTCTTTGATCCTGGAGGAGACAATTCCTTTGTAGGTATGTTTTCTTTTAAATTTTTCTTTCTTTTTCCAATAATGTTTTCCTTTTCTTAATTTCAGGTTTTTTTAAAAAAAACCAAAAAAAAAACATAAACAAAAACATGTGCTTTACCGCGGCCCAGAGGACTTGACCCGGGGCCACGACCTCTTGACCCGTGGCCACGACCTTTTGACCCGGGGCCAACCCATCTTCCCACCCGCGGCCAGCCTAACTTTCACCTGGCGACACGTTTCAAAGATTGGTTGAGACGGAGGTATTACATTTAGATTCAGACTTTGGTGTCTTCATCAAGTTTGTAGAGGAGAAAGTAAATTTCCAAAACACTTGGAATCATAAGATTGGGAGCCGTGAGCCGAAAGTTATGACCGTTTGAAGATGGACTTGTCTCGCAGCTAGACCAAGCAGATGAGCATCAAAGAATCGGTGAGACGGGAGCCTTGCTCACACCGGACGCAGTCGAAACCTTCATCAAAGTTTAATCTGCGTGAGTTACCAGTCTCATCGAGTTGGAAAATTAGGTATTGGAACACTGAGCAAGAAGTTATGCAAGTTGTGGTGCAAGTGGTCTGTATAGGTATCTCTTCAAAGAGATTCACAAAGACCAATGGCATCTCTTCTTGTCATCATTCAGGTAAGTCCTTATAAACTTTTAAAAATAAATATTTCTTAGGAAAAACACCTTTTTAAAAGAAAAAGAGGATTTAAAAGATCAAAAAGATGTTTCTCTTCATCTTCCCCATTAAGCTTGGAGATTTTGAGAAAAGATCAGATTTTACACTTGACAAATTCCTTTCAAATTTTCGAACCTGTCTCATTCTTTTTAAAAAGAGATTCCAAATCTGTCATCACCTCACACTTTCATCAAAGGTATAGTACCAAATTTCTCACTTTTCCTCAAGAACTCATAATTATGGTTTTCTTAGAATGAGTAGAAATTCACCTTAGGATGATTAAAAATTATCTTTGACCTTAAGACTAGACTTTTAGGTAGTTTAATTGCATGATCAAACACTTAGACCATGGAGATTTGAAATTTTCGAAAATCTGAGATTTGAGACTTTGACAAAATCGAAATTTGAAGAAATGTTTCATTCAGCTTAGCAAGTCTTGTTTGGTCCTTGTTGATAGAAAACCAGATAAGATTACATATGAATGAGCATTAACATCATCTTGATTCAGAAATCTCATGTGTTGGACATTAATATATCGAACTTGACCAGGAACTCTCTGATTTTGCAATGTTTGATGCACTTACAGCTTGTTTGTATATGAATGTGTTTGTGATAACTATATAAACACCTTGCTCATAAAAATAGAAACACAAGCAGCTTCAGTTACTCTCTGTCTCGAGAATTTTGTTTTGCAGGTCATGGATCTCTCTCAGGTACGACTCATTCAAACCATGAGGAGTGCTCATGCGAAAAAGCCTCGTTTGCAGAAGACATATGACCTTTAAACGAGATATAGATGAGTGATGATGAACCCTTCCCCACCTTCCTTGCTTTGCTTGTATCATTGCAAGGAACCTAGTGAAAGTTAAGCATGAGATGCTTACATCTGATTGTCAGGACTATCACCAGGGCCAAGATGGACCCAATTGGATTTGCTTACAAGTTCTGCACCAGTTCCACCGACTACTGGGTCCTTCTACCATCGGATTCAATGACCCGTCTCCGAGATGGTTCAGACCCAGGATGGAAACCAGAGACTAGCGACTTCCTACCATCTTTGCCACTCTTCCCTCTGACCACGAAGCAATTTCTGGCTGCAAAAGCCAAGAGAGAGGTAGCTGCAACCAGCAGGAGACTTCAGCGTGCACCATCTTCATCCCGAGCCAGTTCTTCTCAGATTAGAGCATCCACTATGAATGATGCAGACTTTGCTGCTTTGAAAAAGAAGCTTGAACAGCAAGAGAATATCAACAGGCACATGAAGAAGTTACTGAAGAAGAACCACATGTACGATGATGATTCCTCTGCCACAGAGATAGACAGCAGCCATGAGACCAGGCGCCCATCCATCACCTCATCCTACCCACGGTTCTACATCATTTTCTTTTCTTTTCTTTAGATTATTTCGTTTTTATTTACCATCTTCTCACCAACTTTATCACACTGGAGACAGTGTGATTTAAGTCTGGGGGAGGATGTTCATCCGTTACTAACGAAAGTTTGTTTGTTTTGACTTTTTATTTCATAAAGGGTCTTTCATAAAAGGTTTTCAAAAGTTTTTCAAAAACAGGAACACTGATTTCAAAAACAGGAACACCAAAAACAAAACTATGATGAATAGGACCCATGTGCTTCTAGACTTTACATGCTAGTTTCTTTTGTGGTTTATACTAGATTAGGCGGTAGCTAGAGTACTTGCACTACGAACTCCCACCAGAGGATTTCTATTTATGGAGATGTTTTCTGACAGAATATACTAGCTCATTTCACTTGAACATAATCTTGACATCTAATTTTCTCATCATTGGAAGCAGGCATCATGATACACATCTAGGACATCTTCACCTTATTGTTACCACTCTTTGTTGTCCTAGATGGCCAGTTCATCTTTAGCTGGTACCACACCCTTTACCCAAACCTTTATGTTCAAACCTCATACATTCTCTCTTTAGTTTATATCGACAGATATGTGCAAAAACTCCAGAGAGAGAGGAACAACATCGTTTTCAGTCACTCAAGAGAAGGACTGAAGAAATTTGGGAAAGAAGAGTATCAGCAATCCTATCAAGCTTAATGGTGCCTCAAAAAGCTCATTCATAAAGGTAAATTTCGTGCTCCTAAGACTCTATGTCAAAAGGCGGTTCCCCTTTACAAAAAAAAAATAAAAATTGAAAAAAGAAAAAAAAAATGAAAGGAAAGGAAACCAAAAGCCTAAAAAGTATAGGATGGCCGAAATCATTGGAAGCAAAGGCTACAAGTATTCATCTGTGAGGATTGGTTTTAAAACCTGGACAAAAATCTAAGTCTGGAGGAGTCATGAGGAGAACCTGAAGAAAGGAGATCAAGAATCTTAA